AAATGCCAATAGTACCTCAAAACTTGACGATGTGCAAGTCAAAATAAGGTCAGTCTGCGTTTAGGTGCTTATCCAAAAATATTATTACCAATTTTTTGAGCCACTGTATGAGCTCAAATTCGATAAAGCCAGGTTACTCAGCGAATTTTGTCAACTTACGTTTGATCTTTAGATTGATTTGGGGTTAGCCTACAAGTATCTACAGGAATAATCTTAGCTTTTGACAGCTACGTAATTCCACATCCTTATGCCCCACTTGATTATGATATAGCCATCAAGTATGTTTTCAAAACTTATCTATCTTTGTTTTCACGTTTAAGGTCCAAACGTGGCCCAGGGGATCTTGGTCAGATGGACTCGTTTGTACCTGGTATCACGCCCGTATGGGTCAAGACCTGGGGATGTTCGCACAATGCTAGTGACAGCGAATACATGGCTGGAATATTGGCTAAGGTTCGTGCACTTTACAGAAAATATATCTATTGTGTACAACTGTTCAGGCAGGGTATCCTATTGTGAAGAAAGCTGATGATGCCAAGATTTGGGTATTGAATAGCTGTACAGTAAAAACACCTTCTGAAACTCAAGCAAGTAATTTGTGCGAAGAAGGAAAGAAATTGGGGAAATATGTGGTTATGGCTGGATGTGTATCACAGGTCAGTTGCTCTCCAGCTATATCTAAGGTTTCTGCAATTCTTAATCCTTTGAAGTTTTGAATCAGATTTTGAAATATGTTTCCTTTTTTAAAGCTATATAAATAATTTTCCATATCAGTCTAATACATCCAGTTTTTTTCTTGGAATATTTGAATTTTAATTCCTTTTTTTTTATATTTCACAGTCCCGTTTTCTCCTTATTCTCCATATAGCTCAGCTTTTTAGCGTGGGCGCAGATTTAGCTACCTTGGGTTTTTTTTCGCCTCATTTGACAGGTGTAAAGATTTTCCTCCTCAGAAGTTTGTTATAGATGTAAGGTTAGTCGAAAATTTTCTTATTTATCCTTCTTGAATAGAACATTATCTCTCTTGTGCAAATTTTTGAGGTCAATCAAATTTTTCATAAAATTTAGCTTAGAAAGATCTTATTTTCTTCCGTTTGATCATCTAGCCCTTATTTAGTCCTTTTTTTTCGTTCTTATCTCAGCTAAGCGCAAGGCTCCCTTTGTTGTCTACCAATGATTGGTCATCAGCATCTGTTAGTTTTTCAAAATGTCGGTATCATACCCAAATATTTTTTTTTTGCTTTAGAGAAAAGCTCTCACATACTTTGAAGAAAATCAGGGATCATATGTTTTATTGTGTGACCTGCAACAAATACGCTACCTGTAGTAAATATTTAAATCTACGCGCCATGTTGGAAATGGCACAGCGGAATTTATAAAGATTGTTTTTTTTCAAATTTTAGGCCATTATGGAGTGTTTTTAACTTGTACAGCTGCATTTGCCGACAAATATGAATTCACCGTCGAAGCATCGAAGCCATTGAAACATACTTGGCTGTCCGTTCATGCTACAATCAAATATCAGTTTTTTGAATTGCTGTACCATGTACGAACATCATGCGCACGAATTCACTTTTAACCAGTACTCTGTTCCATCAATCAACACTTTATTTGATGTTTTTTTTCTAAAGTGGCTGAAGGAGCGTTTTTAAACTTCGGTTATTATAATTAAGCTTTGTAGGCTGCACCTGATGAGCCATGGTTGAAGAACGTTTCTATAGTGGGAGTGAAGCAAATCGATCGAATAGTGGAAGTTGTAGAGGAAACCTTGAAGGGAAACACAGGTATGTCCTGTGTGTCGTTCCCCATTAAGTAATTTTGCTCCATGATTATTCTTTTTTAGTAAGGTTATTGAGTAGAAAACGACCAGATGCTGGCCTTTCATTACCGAAAATGCGGAAGAATGAACTGGTTGAGGTAAGCAACCGCTGACTAGTCAAAATAATTTCATAATTTTTTTCTTCAATCTCTAGGTTCTGGCCATAAATACTGGTTGTTTGAACCATTGTACTTATTGTAAAACCAAAATGGCAAGAGGAGATTTGAAGAGCTATCCGTTAGAGGAGTTGGTAGAACAGGTTGGAAATTCCCATTTTAAAGTTTTTCTCTTTCTAAATTTTCTTGTTACAAAATTGTTCCAAATTCTTTTGATCACATTGTTGTTCAAGGCACGAACGGCATTTGAACGAGATGGCGTAAAAGAACTGTGGCTCACTTCTGAAGACCTTGGCGCCTGGGGTAGAGATATTGGTTTGGTGAGCTTGTGCATGTTATGTTTTGCATGAAATCATTTACTTTGGCCCTGAAATGACCTGTCTTCCCTTGCCATTCTCTTTCGTAAACCATAATCTCCTAAGCTGCTCTTTAAATTAATTTTCAATATGTCTCTATAGGTCCTTCCTGATCTACTCGATGAGCTTGTGAAAGTGATTCCAGAGGGATGCATGATGCGGTTAGGCATGACTAATCCTCCCTATATCTTGGATTATTTAGAGGTTTGTTTGTTAGGGG